TGGAAAAATAAAAAGTGGTTTTTTTTTTTTTCCAAAAAAAATCCCCAAAATTATCCCAAAGGAAAAAAATTTTTGGGTTTTTTTTTTTTTTCCAAAAAAAAAACCCAAAATTATCCCCCAAGAAAAAAATTTTTTTTTTTAAAGCGAACATCATAAAGGTTGGGGTGCAGGAGGGAGTGCGGGGTGTGGGGGGGTGCGGTGTGCAGGAAGGGGCTCAGGGCAAGGGATTGGGGCAGAGGAGTGCGGGGGCAGGAGGGGTACAGAGTGCAGGAGGGGGCTTAGGGCAGGGAGTTGGGGGGCGGGGTGCAGGAGGGGTTCGGGCTCCAGCCCGGCACCACTTGACTGCAGCAGCGCGTTCCCTGCCTGCCTGCCCTGGCCCCACACCGCACTGCTCACCACGTCCCTGAGGGGGGCGGAGGGCACAGGGCTCCGCGCGCTGCCCTTGCCACGCCTCCAGGTACCTCCTCCGAAGCTCCCATTGGCCGCGGTTCCCCGTTCCCAGCCAATGGGAGCTGCGGAGGGCGGTGCCTGGAGCAACACATGGAGCCCTCTGCCCCCGGGGCCCCAGGGATGTGGTGCCATGCCGGCCGCTTCTGAGAGCGGCACGGGGCCTGCGGCACCACAGGGGGGCAAATCCCACAGGCCGGATCCAAAGCCCTGAGGGGCCGGATCTGGCCCACAGGCATTAGGATGCACCTGGGCACACCCGGCACACCCTGTGCGCACGCCTATGGCCTCAATCTAGTTCCCAGCATATAAGTATTCAGGTGACAAAAATACACCATCACACATGGTATTGATTGGCAACAGTGTTGGCCTTCTGGGTGAAATTATGGACCAACTGAAGCCAGTGAAAGTTTTACCATTGACTTCAATGGGGTCAAGATTTAATCCCTTAAGTATACAGGCCAAAGTGTAGAGCAGGGATCGGCAACCTTTGGCAAGCCCCCTGGCAGGCCGGGTTGGTTTGTTTACCTGCTGCGTCTGCAGGTTCGGCCAATCCCGGCTCCCATTCGGCCCGTGCCGCTTCCCGCAGCCCCCATTGGCCTGGAGCGGTGAACCACGGCCAGTGGGAGCCACGATCGGCCGAACCTGTGGACGCGGCAGGTAAACAAATTGGCCCCGCCCCCCAGAGTGCTTACCCTGGCGGGCCGTGTGCCAAAGATTGCCGATCCCTGGTGTAGAGACTGAACTACCCACCTAGGTCTGGTTTCGCCACAGAAGTACTGAGGCACATTGGTAGTGTGGGAAAGCTTATACAAATGCTGTTTTTAACTTAGCTTTAAGGTGGTCTTCAATATGGAGGATGTCAATCCAGAAACTTTAATGAGCACTAAAATATGTAATTTTTTAAAAACAGCAATTGTCAAACTATAAAAATCAGTGACTGCTTAGACTGAATAATGTGCTGAATACACCTGCTGTTTCCCCCCAAATACAGTAACTCCCCACTTAACGTTGTTTCGATCTTACGTCCCTGCTCAATTACAGAACATGCTCCATTTAAAGTTGTGCAATGCTTTGCTAGAACGTCGTTTGGCTGCCTGCTTTGTCCACAGCTGGTAGCCCTCCTATCAGCTCCCCTACGCCTCCCCACACAGCGCCTCCCACCTGCCGGCAGACCCCGCAGATCAGTGCCTTCCCCCTCCTCCTGCCCCCAGCAATCAGCTGGCTTGTGATATTCAGGGAACAGGAGGGAGGGGGAGGAGCGAGGACTCGGCGCACAGGCTTCCCCTCCCTCCCCCTCGCCTCCCGAACGCCACAAACCAGCTAATTACTGCGGGCAGGAGACAGGCGAGGGAGGGGGGAGGCTGCGCGCCGAGTCCTCGCTCCTTTCCCCCCTCCTGCCCTTGAACGTCGCAAGCCAGTTTATTGCCGCGGGCAGGAGAGGGAGGGGGGAGGCGCAAGGACGCGGCGTGCGGAGTAAAGGGGGATAAGGGGGGGAAGAAGAGGTGGGTTAAGGGTGGAGGCTTAGGAGTGGAAAGGGCGGGCTGAGGGTTGAGACCCCGCCCCTGCGCACTGTGCTTCTCCTAGCCTACAGCACCTTCAGCCTCCTTGCCTGCCTCATTGTCTCCAGTGCCAGTGGGCTGTGCCTGTGTGGGGTAAGGCAGGGGCACCTCCCAACTACAGTACTGTACTATATGGCAAAAAAAAAAAAATTTCCCTGGAACCTAACCCCCCCATTTACATTCATTCTTATGGAGAAATTGGATTCGCTTAACATCGTTTCACTTAAAGTTGCATTTTTCAGGAACATACCTACAACATAACTACAACGTTAAGTGAGGAGTTACCGTACACTGATAGGCCTCAATAGTATTTCTTGGCAGATTTGTTTTGATGTATTTCAGAAACACTATAATATGCAATGTATTTTACATCTGCTGATTTAGTTTTTCCAATATGAAATTAAAATGGGCACATATAAATGTCATGAACAAAACTAATCCCAGAATATGACCTTTAAGATTGGTTAATGTCAATAACATCTATCTATAGCCACGAAATACATAATAAATTAAGAACACCATAAAAATGTCAGCTTTCCAACCAACAGAACATTGCTCTTTCTCAGGAACAGATGATCTGTGGAGAGCTTACTGTATAGCTGACAAACAAAATCAGAGACAATATTTAAATACAAAAGCATTATGTTTAAGAACAGATTTTAGTAAACTGTAACCTTTTAGGAAGGAGATTTTGGTTCCTAGCAGAGATGGCACCAATATCGATAAAATAATGATTGATTATATACATTTCCAAAATGACTGAGCTGATCAAGTATAATGTCCACTTTAAAAAGTTTTATATACCCTCTTTTAGGGGACTTTCTTCTGCATCTGCAGGGAAAAGGATTACTTTATATAATAAGTCTTTTCCATTTTTTCCCCTTTTTTTCAGAGTAAGGGTACTATACATTACATACTAAATATGTACATTAGATTACCTTGAAATAAAGTTAACTTTGTGCAAAAAAAATTAAAACTTGGGTTCTTCCCTTTTTTGCTTCTTTATGAAAAGTTTGATTTTTCCTGCCCCTCCCTCCCCTGCCTTTGGTCTTAGCTATATCAGAAATGTTAAGTCTGATCTTCCCTGTTGTTGCTGGAAGACTTTCCTGGGGTGTGTGTTTTACAGTACTGATTAAAGGATGAGAGAGCTCACAATAAACCAAAGGTTGAATTTGATGACATTTTAACAAAAACATAATTTATCCCAAATGCTCTGGAATTAAATAGGTGTTAACGAAAAAAGTTTTTAAAAAATTGATTTAAATCCTCTCCCCTCACAATTATTCAGTTTTCAACCTCTTCTTGACCCATCATAATTTCACTAGTTCAGCAGAGTCTTTCAAGGTAGAATAGATCTAAATTTCTAATGGAGGGTGGGAGGCAGGGAAAACACACACAAGCAGAAACCCCTTCATGCTTATCATAAAGAAGAAAAAGGGAGAGGGCTTTCCTCTCCCTTCCCCCCTTCTTGCAGGCAACTTAAAGGCATCTTGGCAGGAAAGGGAGCTAGTGTAAGAACAGAACTTACTTTAGAGGAGATATGATGGGAACTCCCAGCTGAGACACCTCTACTTGCCACATAAGGCAGTACTGCTCCATTTAATGATTCCAGAAACTCCCCAGCCAGATACAACCCCTTCCTCCTGCTCCCAGTTCAAATTCTTCTGTGTGATGAGAGCTGATCCCATAGTCAAGGACAACAAGCTCTTGGGGAGCTAAGCTCTCTAAGCCATGGAGAAGGACAAGGAGGAGGGTGTGTGCTCCCATTCTCCTTTTAGCAGAAGAGGGAGAGCTGTACTCCCCCTTACTCTAACTCCTGCTGGTAATGCAGGTGACTCACCCCTTTTTAAAAACAAAGCCATATAAAACAGGATGCCCCCCAAAAACCTATGTAACATTTGTTAGTCTCCATTCTTTGAACTTCTTACAGGAGAGCAACAAATAATATGGCATTACTTCTCCACCAATCAGTTCTGTATTTTTGCTGGTAATCCACACAAACTCTATATTCCCCATTCCCTATAAAAACAAAGATTATAATTTCTGAACTGAGACATTGGTCAATGTACTCATCAGTCTGTGTCATTTAACTGCACATTTATGGCCCTTTTCAAGTAATGAATCTCAAGGCAACTTTCTATAACAATAAAACAAACATCTTTGGTAACAGTACAGAAGTTAAAAACTGTTCTTTTCTGATGTCAGACGATGGGAGAGACATTCTTTAAATTTATATTGAAGAGTCATTCCTTGATGTGCATGTGTAACTCCCCACAATCTCAAATCAGTAATATAAATACACTTTTAGATTTGTTTAACATCTACTTTAATATCTAGCACATATTAAAGTTAAGTGTTTTTCCTTTAATCCTGAATTATGACATGGAACCTTTTAACCCTGTGGAAAATAAAATGAGGTTTATTCATTGCTGGAGATAGGTACACAATAAGTAATATGTTCTATTCCATTCTTTATAGGTTCTTATACCATCCTCACCGCCATAGTATTTGAACACCTTCCAGTAGTGCATTAAGAGACGTGACTAACACCATGTTTCCAATACTACAGTTGTTTACAGAAAAATAAATCAAAACGTGCTGATATATCACTGAGCAAGACCTGTGTGTGAACTTCTTAAAAGCAGGTGCACACTGAGGCAGTGAGAAATAAAAGTTTGTGTCTCTAAAACACAATACATTCCTCTCACATCATTAAAATAAATAAATTTACATTAACAAACAGGATAATCCCACACATGCACACCTTCCAATTCCTTACATATTGATGGACAGATGCCAGATTTTAGCATCACAGTGAAAAAAGCCATGCACATTACAATAAGCTTAAACATCACCTATCAAGTCAAACATCTCTTTTTCTTTCTTCTAGTGAATGACAAACAGAGGGAGATTCCTTAGTTGAAATCTGATCAAACAAGCATACAACTGCTGAGGCAGAATTTGGTCGGTAGATATTTAAGCAATTTCTTCTTACATTCACAGGGATCCTGCAGTGTAGATCACAACAAGAATCCACACAATTCTGAAACCATGTCTTCTTCTACCCAATCACATAAGAGGGAGATACTGAAAATTTGCATTCGTTCTAACTGCCCACAACATACTGCAATTATCTGACTTAAATCATTTTCTTAGGTAGGATAGGAAAGAGACAGACAGACATACAATAATAAACAGAGAGAAAATAAGAGACACAAACTGTTGAAATGTCTAACACCCAAACAAAAACACTTCTTCCATGGCATCATTTCCACTTCATGTAAATGTTTAGGTTTGCTGCAGTTTTTATATACAGATCAAACAAAAGGAGAACAAACTGACTACACAGGGCCAGATTCAGAGGGGATGTAAGTGATGGTATAAATTGCATATTCATAAAACAGCATAAGCAACATAAATTGGTGTAATTTACTTCAAGAGAACAAAGTGCAAAAATGCAACAGGAAAAGCAACATATCAGGGTACAATCCAGACTAATGAGTTGCTGTGTCCCTCCTGCCCTCTAACGTGGGGTGCCTTTTACAATGCTTTGCTGCTGCTGTAGCCTCCAGCATGAAAGTCATTCCAAGCTATGTCTGTGTGTGTGCTGCACCCAACCACACCTGGCCTCTTACCAACCTTGGTTATACTGCAGGTGACCCCAACACATCCCCAGTATTAGATTTTCCCCCCAGAAATGTATGTCCTGTAATACCCACCCCTCTCCTGGACAATACAAGTTTATATAAAGTCTGTTATTGCTTTAAAAGAAATAATTTGCACAGAACCTGCCATCCCAAATGGAGTTTCCCAGACACTTCAGTTTAAACACATTAGGCCTAGATAAAACAATAAAGCAAGTTTATTCACTACAAAGAGAGATTTTAAGTGATGTACAAGTAACGAGGCATAAGTCAGAAATGGTTACAAGAAAATAAAGTTACAAGTCTGATGGTGCGTAACTTAAACTATATCAGAATCAAGCAAAGTAGTTTCTCACCACACACTTTCAGCAGTCTTACTGATCAAACTTCTTAGGTCAGGCCCCTTCCACCAGTTCAGCACTGCTTCCTTTGTCCTACAGGTGCTGTGAACAGGGCCAGCTCTAGGCACCAGCAAAGCAAGCAGTTGCTTGGGGCAGCAAATTTGCAGGGGTGCAAGAATCCAGCATGGGAGCTGAGAACCAACAGGAGGCCCTGGGAGCTGTAGTTCCTTGGTTAGCTCCCTGCCTATAGAGCCAGCCCTGGAGCAGGGAAAAAACTACATTTCCCAGCATTCCCTCGGCTGCAATTAACAGGAAAGGGAGGGGGAAGGAGTGTGGAACTGAAACCTCATGCTGCAGCTTGCTGTGAATGGTAGGGACAGAGCCAGCTCTAGGTTTTTTGCTGTCCCCCACTCCAGCCCTGGGCTCCCCCTGCACCTCCATGTTGCCCCAGCCCTGGACTCTCCCCTGCCCACACCCCCTGCTCCTCCAGCTCTGGCCCCCACCTGCACCCCCTGCTGCCCCAGCCCTGGGCTCTCCCCCCACCA